CATCAGAGCATGATTTGCTGTAACCTTTTTTTACAGTGACCTGAGGCAGTCTGACATTCACATCAAAGCTAGACACTGTGGCTTTGGGAAAGGCTGCCCTTAATTTTTTTGGAAAAAAGAAAAGCACCCAATCACAAATATTTCAAGAACTGCTTTTGAATGAACCCTTAGAAGACAAGATAGTGGAGACCAGGATAGATCTCATGAGTGCCTTCATTCAGTAGTAATAGCAGTAGTGCCTGTAAGTAGTGCCTAGGAAGACAAAAAGTCTTCATCCCACGACCCACTGCGCATGCGCAAATGGTACAACTGTCTAAATAATGAGCAGCTAGCTTCTTCAAGAGAAAACTGAAAGAGAGTCAAGGGATTTACTGAAGTCTAAGCAGAATACATCAAAAGCCTTTTCCTCACCCACTAGATGGGTCATCTGGTCATAGAAAGAGATCAGGTTAGTCAAGAAGAACCCATGCTGACTGAGCCTCATTCTCCGGTTGTCCCACACAGGCTATTTGATCACACTCGAGATGATCTGCTCCATCCCCTTCCCCAATACTGAGGTCAGGCTGACAAGCCTTTGGTTCCCCGGATCCTCAGATAAATATAACGCTATCTATAATGATTAATCTTAAATGTGTCCATGATTACAAGCCACTGTTAGAACCCAGATGCTGAATCTAGGATTATTCTTGACAAGGAAAGCAATCCTGCTCAGACAGTTATGCTCATGTCTGTAATTTTGTTTTTTTCTCCCCGAAATTAGGACACTGAAAATTGGTTGGTTTGTCTCATTGATGGATAACTAAGACATTTGATTAACTTCTCTTTCAGGTGCCTAGAAACAAACAATTCCCATCTTTCTGTTGACCTTAAAGAAATATTAACCTCAAAGCTCACTTTTGGTTGCTTGTGTCTGGTCTCCCTTTGGCATCAGTTTGGTTAGTTAGGGGTGTCTTTGCCGCAGCTAAGCAGATGCTATACTCCTATTTTCCCTGGCTTTGTTACACTCTTAAGAAACAGCTACCTTGTGTCTTGAGAAGGAGTCTTGTGAGATAAGAGAAGTAGTCACTTCAGAGAATGCTCTTAAGTGTGGGGGGAAGAAAAAAAAGGAGAAAAATAAAGGATATGCTATTTAAACATCTGATTTGGGTATTAACCCTGTGGATGGGAAAAAGTCAGAAGCCTGGAGGACAAATGGAAATGGTTGGAGAAGCTTTAGAGCTTATATAAAGGACAAAATTTCAGCCTACTCACCACTGGTGGCAGAAAGTTTTAAGCACATTCTTCTGGGTACCTTGGGAAGTTAAAAATAAGTGAAATGTCTGATTTTAATTGCACTGGTGGGTTAGGTGTCCCATCAGTAAGCATACTTACATTTAATTGCCTCACATTTTCTTTATCTGGTCGAGATGTTCTTCACAAGGAGTTGTGAAATAATGAGGTAGATAAGGAATGACTCTGTTTAAAAGAAGGTTCCTTTTGAGAAGGCAAAAATGTAGCAAGGGATGGTAAAATCAGCAGTATTTCAGTTAATATTTTCTTATACATGTGAAGATTAGTCAGTTAAAAAATAGTGGACTGGGGGAGTTATCATTGCTTTGTTTTATACCATGTCTACTGCATCATATGGTGGTAAGATAATAAAGAGGCCTAATTAAACAGTAGAGACCTACTTCCATGTCCCTAATGTTCATAAGGGAGTAATAGTCTGAGGTAGTAATAGATGGTGCTTAATATTTGGCTTGGCCATTAACTTAGTACAAAACAGTAATTATTCAGAAATTCTGTTATAAAATAATCACCAAAATTTATCTCCATACAAGAGAATATATGTGGGATAACAGTAAAATTCTAATGTAGAAATACCGAAGCTAAGAAATTGGAATTAGGTTGGGTTTGGGAAAACAGCTGCTACTGCAATGTGCTTGTGTTCTACAGAAGTAGCTGCCAGGTAGGTTGTCCAGGATGTAGTAATCCCTATGTGGTAAAGAGTGAAGCTCTTTAGCTATCTTTGTCTACCTAGGACTTATAAAATGTGAATTTTGCTTGTGCCTTGAAGTTGACCGTTTGTATAAGAATGTGAAAGAATAAACAAAAAAGTGCTTTTTGTCTTGCCCAAAATCAAGGCTGTTCTACTAAGTTAAATATTCTCATTCAAATAAATTAATCTGCATCCTAACTTGAAACTGTTTTCCTTCTATTTTTGCTACCAAAGTATTATTTTTTGTTATAAGACAACTACTTGTTGTCATATGTACTTCAGAAGAAGAAACAGGCCAGGAAATGATTTATGGATCAGCAAATTCAGGTCATCATGGTCACTGGAAGCAGTGTAACAGAAAATCCACATTAAATAATAGCTCCGCTTTCTGTAAATCTTGGAGCCTATGATTGGAGTAAGACAGCAAGAAAGTCAGGATCATCAGTGATCCTTCAGCAGTGCAAAAGATTTATATCAAACTAATACACGGAACTTCAGAAATAGGCTGGATCTTGTGCTGTTAAAGAAATAGTAGAAAAACAACATACCAGGCTCATTCAGATAGAAATTCAATGGCAAACCTGAAGGAAGTCTTAACCCTGGATCAAGGCTTTGCCCCAGGCTGTGACCCATCTCAAAGTAACTGGTCATGCTCATTCTGTTACTTCAGAGCAAGGCAAAATGTTTTTTTTTGTTCTTGATAATACGTTGTGCACTGAGACAAAAATAAATCAATCAAGTAAATGTGGTAAAACGAATGCAATCAGTAGACAATAACAAGTCTCTTTCAATTAGCTTTTGAAATGCCAGTAATTTAGAATTCCAAACTTTCACAGACTGTGATTAAGGAAGTTCTCTCCCTGTTTTTCAATATTAAACTAACTGGAGTGGTCTCCTCAATTGCCTTCTGCAACATCCATCCTAAAATTCAGTGTTCACTACTGTGGTTCTTTAAGACCTTTCTAGTATTTCAAAAGCTCTGTGATATCTATCACTATTCTTATAGTGGTCAGAGCTGCTTCAGACTTATAGCTCCAATAGCATATGCTCCAAATTAACATGTTCAGATAGCTCAAGATCGCATCCAACCTTTGATGACAGTGTCATGTGGGAGATGACAATGAGTCTAATGCCTGCCATGATCTCAGCTCTATTTCACGATATTTGGCATGTGTGAGGTATGTCCAACATCTATGGATAACATCGTATCTTCCTAGATGTTCTTTCACTGGTTTTGAAAGACGCACTTCTTCCTTGCTTCCTGGCTTTCCAAGAGGTCAAGGTTCTTCTCTTTCACAGTTTCTCTTTGTGATTCATCATTTGCCCATTTTTTTTTTGCCTCAGTTGTAAGGTTTGGATTTTTTTCTTATTTTTTTGGAGGGAGTGGGAGGAGTGTAGGAAAAACAATCTGTGCAGGACCTCATAGAAATATTTTTCATATGACCTGAAGATAATTCTGCTTTTAAAGGAATGTAAATTTAAACATAGCAATTTTGTTTAAATCTCTTCTTCTGTTGTAAGCCTTCCCAGGGAAACTAGAAAAAAATTATCTGGAGGTTTCCAGTTTTATTATTCTACATGTTTTAGATGTTTTGGAAGTGCTCTCGATGAAGTTGATTTCCCCATATTCCTATGTAGTCAATTAAGTTTTGTGTAAATGCTTCAGCACTTGCCTAACTTCACTCGTGGGATGCAACCACATGGCAGTAAAGGGAACAATTCTCATAAACAAAATTCAGCACAGGACTTCAGCTGGTTGTTTTGCATGCAGCAATGGAGTGAGGAGTATTTAAAATAAAGAAATGTAATGCAATGACGCGTTACAAGACTGGTCAGATCTAAGGTGGAATTGAAAAAAGAAAATGAAGTCAAAACCTAGAGTGCCAGTTATTATAAAGATATCTTTTTTCCCTTGCTCTTTTTTTTTTTTAATCGATTCATTGATTTCTCTGATTCCTAAATCTATTCCTAGACAAGTAAATAAAGCAGAGCAGGGGCTGTTTCCTAGCCCTGAAACCTACCTAACTGCATGGCACAGCTTTTGTCTTGCATCTCCTGAAAGAGATTGCTACATAGGAAATATATTCTGGAAGTGCTACCTGGTCAATCTACTCTCCCTCAACCATGCCTGGACTTTCCCTGGGAAGCTCTTAGTTGGCCCAAAGCAAAACCATCAAACGTATCCTGCTATTACAACATGCTCAGAGCATCATGCCCTGTTTAGTGCTTTAATATGGATATTGTTTCTGATTTTCTATCTTTGGCGGAGATATCTCCCCCCATTTCCTTATAATAATTAACAATAAGCTTTTAAATTCTTAGCTTGCTAATTCAAAATGGCTGGGATTTGTCCCTAAGAAAACATTCTTGTATCAATGTCAGAGGGTAAAAAAGGATTACAAACATATACTCGTTTCTCAGCAAACATTAAGAGCTCCCTTTTCTAATTTATGTTGTACCATTCCTTGAAAGTCTTGTTAGTTAACAGTAGTGAAAGATCAGTTAATCTCAGTTAAAAAATTGTGACATGAATAATTTTCATTGAATTCTGACCAAGCCTGCAATTAATGTTAAGATAAGCAAGAAACTTTTTTTTTTTTTTTGGTTTTGTTGTATTATTAACTTTTATAAAAAGTTTTAAAATACTAAAACACTATGTTTTAGTATTTTTTACTATTGTTTACTATTTGTGAACAATAAAGAATGATTTTTTCTTCATTCACTGCCAGTTCAGTTCCTGCTTTACATTCTGAAATTCTAGCAGCCTAAATGGGAAACAGTTTCCCCATGAAAATTTGATGAAGAAGTCGCAAAAATCAACAGCAAAAACAGAAGCGAGGGAGAGAAATAGGTTCTCCAAATCTTATACCTTACAGAACTACCATGACATTTCATTGTAATAGCTAAATTGATCTTAGGATCACCAAGGTTGGAAAAGACCTCCAAGATCATCCAGTCCACACTGTCTACTTATCACCATTATTTTTCAATTTCCCTTAGTACAACATCTGAATGTTTCTTGGATAACTCCAGGGATGATGACTCAATCACCTCCCTGGGCAGCCCACTCCAGCACCTTACCAATAGAAATTTTCCTCTCAACTGAGGACATGTCAGATATTAATCTGAAGTAAGAACAGATACTGCACTTGATCTTAGTCAAGAGGTAAAGAGGCAAAACACAACTCAGAACTTCTATCATCTGCTATAACATACCTTCTCCAAGGTAACAGCAGATGGTGCTGGTAGATAGAGCCAAGCTGTGTTCCCTTGTTACTATGTAGAAGTCCAATTTGGAGTGGAAGAGAGTGTGCACTGGATAGATGTCAGCTATACCAAAGGAGTGTTTTTTTTTCTATTATTATGAATTTGATTGGGTGTTATTTAGACCTGAGATGAATATTGTTGTAGACTGAAGCACTGGACTGCAGCACTTCAGTGGAGAAAAAAAAAGAATGTTTCCATTAGCAACAAAAACATTATTTCCTGCTCCTGTGCCTTCGGTCTGTTGTGTAGGTGCTCTGATAAAGTTACAGATGGAGTACACACACAGCAGATATATTCAGTGTCTGCAAGCTGATTTCTACACTACCTGGAGAAGTGTTTGCTTCCTGCTGCTTTCAGTGAGGCAGATCCTGAATTATCTAAAAAAGTTCATTTTGTTGCGGAAAATTACTGTTGTCTGAATTACAAGAGATGACAGACAAGTTAAGCTGGCAGAGAGTAGGCAGCAACAATGCCTAGTGGAGTTGTCACACCACTCCTACCCAAATCCATCAGATAACAGCACCTTTTCCCATCCTCAGAGTGAGGATAGGGACATAAAGCCCTTAGAATCATAGAGTCATAGAATCACCAAGGTTTGTTAAAAGACCTACAAGATCATCTAGTCCAATTGTCTACTGATCACAAGAAGTCCTCACTAAAGCATGTCCATCAACACAACCTCTGAATGTTCCTTGAACACCTCCAGGGTCGATGATTCCGCCAAACATTCCCACTTCTCTTGGCCTATCTTAGTATAGCAGATGGGACAAGCCCTTATCAATCTTCATAGCCCTTTGCAGGACTCCCTCCATTACATCCATATCTCTCTTGTATTAGCAGCTCAATGCTGGTTGCAGCATGCCAGATGTGTCTCACCAAGGCTGAGCAGGGGGGAAGGACTACATCCCTAGGTTTACTGGTAATACTTTGCCTAAGGCAGCCCAAGAGGCTGATTGCTTCTCTTGCCACAAGGGCAAATTGCTTGCTGATGTTCAGCTTGGGGTGTGCTTGAATTGGTGTGAAGGAATAGACACTACATAGAAAACGCATACACTAGTTGCTCAAAATTATTTTGTTGTTTCATTTTGAAATAGCTGTTCCTCACAGGAATGTTTGTGTTTTTTTGTTTGTATGTTTTTTGTTTGTTTCTTTTTTTTTTCCATAGAACTCTGTATATCAGACATTACTTGAGGAATTTGGGTGAGTCTTACATGTGTAAAGATGGAAATACTGGGTCTACCATTATTAAAATCAGTTGTGGTGAAAAATGTGGTAAATTATTGATGGTTATGGGAAAAATTAAAATGGGGATGTCAGTGACTGACTGGCTTAGAAAACAAGGTGATAGACTACTCCACTTGAGCAATGCCAATAATCTGATTTTCACGTCTGGTAAAGAGAACTAAGGAAAATCTTACAGAAATATTAAAATTATCACTAAGTTCTGATGTGACATTTTATCTTGCATATTATTGATGCAAGAATTGAAATCTAAATTGGGTCACTGTATAACTGATGAATTTCAGTAATAATGGTAGGTATCCTTATTATTCAGTGTGAATTCAGCAGATATTCTCTAAAAGAAACTGGCTGTTTAAAGTCCTTTTCCACAGTCTCCTTCCATTATACATATTCCTATACATTTACATGTGTACTTATGATTGTCTCGGAGTTAACTAGATCAATCTATGCCTGTGATGGGGGGCAGTAGGCCCATGAGCCCCCCCCAGCCCCACAGAATGGGAAGGGAGAGGGAAAAGGGATAGGGAGATGGGAGTTGGGCTCAAGGAAGGAAAAAAAACAGCGGCAACGATTTATGGAGGAAAACTTATTTTACTATGATATCGGAATGCAAGATAACACAACATAATACAATCTAATAGAAATTGAGACTAATAAATCAAATAAAATAGGAGAGAGAGGGAGTTCCTGAGACCGAGTCAAACCTGAAAAGCTTGGAACAACTAGAAAACCACCCTCCAGTACCCACTGCAAGGCAGTAAGAGACTATCCAACCTGGAAGGGCCAGATCCCATGAATTCTGTTATGTACAGGGACAGCTACCTGGAATTGGAGCATTAACAGTTAAACTCCCAGTGCACTACATGATGTTATGATGTGGAATATGAAAACCAAAAACCACAAAACCGTGACATTCCATTGCTTATTCTACATCACTACATCATGCTTAATATATATATATATACAAACGAACAATGATTAAAATGCATTACACAACACCTCTATATACACATATATACATAGAATTACTGACTGCTCTCCCCCAGCATCAAATTTTTTTATGGTACACAATGAACAGTCCTGTTTTTCCTCATCACCCACCGAATGGAATGTAACGGTGCCCATCTTGGCACTTTATACCTAGGAACTGAATCTCCTGGGCAGGTCCTTTCACTTTGCTTCACTTAATAGCAAAACCAGCTTGCAGAAGAATTTGGATTATTTGCTCTCATTCTGTGAAGACTTCTTCTGCTGTATCGCCCCACACAATGATATCATCAATGTACTGCAGGTGCTCAGGAGCACTGCACTGTTCCAATACAGTTTGGATCAACCCATGGCAAATGGTTGGGCTGTGTTTCCACCCCTGAGGTAAATGGTTCCAAGTATAGTGAACGCCCCTCCAGATGAGAGCAAACTGTGGTTTACGTTCTTTGGCCAAAGGAATGGAAAAGAAGGCATTAGCAATGTCAATGGTGGCATACCATTTGGCCGCTTTTGACTCCAGTTCATACTGGAGTTCCAACATGTCTGGCACAGCAGCACTCAGTGGGGGTGTGACTTCATTCAGGCCACGGTAGTCCACCGTCAGCCTCCATTCTCCACTGGCTTTACGCACTGGCCATATGGGGCTGTTAAAAGGAGAGTGAGTTTTGCTGATCACTCCCTGGCTCTCTAGTTGACAAACTGACTTATGAATGGGGAGCAAAGAATCCCTGTTGGTGCGGTACTGCCGCCTGTGCACCGTTTTTGTAGCAATCGGTACGTGTTGCTCTTTTACTCGTAGCAGCCCCACAGCAGATGATAGGCCAGGCAAAACAGACAACTGCTTAACACCTTCTATGTCTACAGCAGGTATTCCAGAGGCCTGTCTCTACCCCTTGGGATCCTTCAAATGTCCCCTTCTGAGGAAATCAATACCAAGTACACATGGAGCCCCTGGGCCCGTCACAATAGGATGTTTTTGCCAGTCCTTACCAGTGAGGCTTATCTCGGCCTCCAGCACAGTCAATTCTTGAGAGCCCCCTGTCACTCCAGAAATATGGATTGATTCTGTCCCTTCATGACTTGAGGGAGTCAGAGTGCACTGTGTTGGAGGCTGAGATAAGCCTCAAAAAACCAAGACAATGATCTTAGTAAATCATAAAATCTCTGCTCTCATCAGCGTTCCTAATGTTTGATTGCAATCGTGGTGTAACTATATACCCTTCATAATGTCAAGAATGAAGATAAGTATGCGGTGTCAGCACTTCTTGCTCCGATCTTTGTTCTAAATATTTTATACTCAGAAGCTGCAATCCTGCAAACACATAGGAACAGAAGCAACCTATAGTATCTGAATATTGTGACTGCTATCAAGGGCAACAATTTTCTATGATGTCTTGAATAATCAAGGGATTAAGGAAGGACACATATTATCCTACAGTCTCAGCTGACGTCTGTTCTCCTGTTGTTGCTTTTCACACATTTTCCATAATGAAAAACAATTTGAACTTAACAAAACCATTGGCAGCTGACATAACTACTGGGCTAGTACTCCTAACAAAGCAGCAGGAAGAAAAAGCAAGTGTGCTGAGTTGTGGGAAGTCTCTGGAGGAGCGGGATTCAAAGAAACCAAGCAAAATTCAAAGTAAATGGTGGATTAAAAACAGTGGTGGAAAGGAACAGAAATGTACTTCTCATTCTGCCAGGTTAATTACTTTTACATTGTTACAGGATATGGATACTATTGCTTTATACAAATGTAGAACTATTCTGTATTAAGAGAACCCCAAACCCTCTTCTCTCTATAGCTTTCTCTGTAGAGAAGGACTATACAGAAACTCTAAAAAACTTAAGCTCTTTTCTGGATCTCTCTTCTGCTCTTTCCCCTATTGCTTTATTTAAGTCCTGAGACCATAACAGAGCTAGCAATTTAATTAGGAATGTTCCTGTTTGAAGTTATTTGCAACTGAAAATGTTGATAACCACATTGGTAATATATGATCTTCATCAGTAAATTGGAAACACCTATGCAATGTGATATATAAACCCGATGAAATGGCACCAGTTGACTAATACTTGAAAGGGAAAGAAAAAAAAAATGTGTATCAGTGCATGTTGTTATGCCTTCATACAGTCCATGGTAGTCTAAAGTTTTAGCATTTCTATTTCCTCTGTCTTACATTGTCATAACAGATCTGAAAAGTTTAGGAAAAGGTCAAAGGATGTTTAAAGGTAAAAACCATTTTCTGTAGTTTGAACACGTGGAACTGATGCTGTGTTAGTTAGCACTGAGATCTGTGATCCCTTGTGTCCCTAAGTCTCTGGGACTGAGTTGGACAATGTATAAATCAGTTCATTGTGAGAAGTCAGAACTCAAGAAGACTGTGTTCCTCACTTATTTTCAGACATTTCTGAAGTTTTATACTCCTCTGTCCCATCCCTGATTAGATAGTTGATCTCATCTGTCCTTGACACTTATTTGGGATCAGAACTCATTTCATTTTTCACTATTTTGTAGGAATTCTTGTTCCACCAGTCAGTCTTCATGCCTACTCTACAATCTTTCAAAATTTTGCCTATTTTACTACTCACAGATATACAGATATATACAACTACAAGTTAAATCAACAGATACATTTGTAACTAATAAAAGCAGACTTTTTTTTTCATAAACCATGTGAACCTC